TGGTTTGCAACATATAATTGATATTCAACATAAACTGTGGAGATGTTAGCATGCAGCCTTAAAACCCTACCATAAATGGACTTGCAGTCGGAGCATGCAAGAAAACTGGTGATCCAATTGCACAATTTCTTGGGAACCAAATAGGAAGAAAGCTTCGAAAGATGCACTTTGTGCAAAACTTGATCGAAGGCCTTTGATATGTCAACACTAACGGCCAGGTCTTCTTCTTGGACTCTACTGCATCCATCATCTTGGAAGTCAGGTACTCTAGAAGATCACCAAGTGAGTGATCGCGGCGAAATCAGTAATGGCGGTTACTAGTCAGCTGGTGGACCTCAAGGTACGTAATTAGCTGGCAGTTTATAATGGTTTCCATGATTTTAGAGTACAAGTAGGTAATAGGCCTGTAGCTGAACTGTCGCTATTTTTAGGTATCCGGTGCACTAAAGCTATCTCCATGAATTCGGGACTACCCCTACGCCTAGTAGGACATGTTTTCAGCACAATATAAAGAACTTAATCAGGTTTACCCGACTTGTTAACATTCAGAAAGAGGAGTGCTTTGCGCACTGAGCACTCACACTGCACAATAGTGAGCAGTGTGTTCCTCCCGTCACCGAGAGTCGAGTCGAACGCAAAAAGAGAGCCCAACAGATCAGCTTTCTCCTTTGCGGCATGGGCCAGTGAGTCGTTCTCCCTGTGCAGAGATGAAAGAGATGGCTGACAGAAGTTCCCTTGGACAGCCTTAGCGAGAGACTAGAATTCTCTACGAGACGAGACTAAAATCTCGCCAATTATGCAGATTTACGGCGACCATCTGTCCCAAGGAGGTGTCGGATTTATCGTCCACAAGTCTCTCGTTAACAACGTTGTAAAGATTGAGAGTGTGTCGACGAGGGTTGCGTACCTTACACTCAGAATCACCAAACGGTATTCGCTGAAGGTCATACAGGTTTACGCACCAACCTCGGCACACCACGATCAGGAGGTGGAAGAAATATATGAGGATATCTCTAGAGCCATGCATTCCTCCAAAACCCAATATACGGTGTTAATGGGAGACTTCAATGCAAAACTAGTCACAAGAGAGAACGTGAGCTGAAAGTGGGGAAATTTGGAATAGGGCAACGGAACCCAAGGGGCCAGCAGCTGGCCGACTTCATGGAGAAAGAGGGACTCTTTATGATGAACTCTTTCTTGCAGAAGCGGCCCCACAGGAAGTGGACCTGGTCGAGCCCCGACGGTTCGAGAAAAAATGAGATTGACTTCATTATGACGACCAGGCGACAACTGTTCAGTGATGTCTCAGTAATCGCGAAGGTGAAAACCGGCAGCGATCATCGAATGGTTAGAGGCACACTGAACCTAAACGTTAAGTTGGAGAGGTCACGTCTAATGAAGTCAACGCTCCGTCCCCCTCGTGCTCTAATCCGAAGTCCTGAAACCTTTCAGCTCGAGTTACAAAACCGTTTTCAGTGCCTAGAAGACTGCAACGAAGTGGACGATTTGAATGTAACTGTCCATGCGATCGGAGCTAAGTTCTGCAAGACCCGCCGAATAAGAACACAAAAACTCTCCGATCACACTCTTAATCTCATGGCTGTTAGACGGGAGATGAAGCTACATTCTTCAACAGATTTGACAGCATACAGGCAACTGAACAGACAGATCTCCAAATGCATGCGGCGGGACTTACGCAACTTCAATACAGCTCGTATTGAAGAAGCGATCGAGCGGAACCAAGGCTCCAAAGTCTTTGGCAGAGATCTGTTTGCCAGAAAGAGCCAACTGTCAAAGCGGAAAACCGAATGTGGCAGCATCGTTTCCGGGGCACCTGAGATTTTGAGTGAGATTGAGAGGTACACGTCATCGTTGGAGCCGCACGCAAGTGTGAGTAACGATCGATCCAAGAGCGAGTTTTATTCGACATTAATCCGATGATATCCCGGACGTCAGTCTGAGCGAGATTAGAATGGCTCTCCAGCACCTTAAAAACGGCAAGGCCCCAGGCACGGATGGAATTACAGCGGAGCTTCGGAAAGCGGGTGGAAAACCGGTACTTGAAGTCCTTCAGAAGCTCTTTAATTCCGTCCTCAATGGTGGCATTACACCGGAGGCGTGGAGCAGAAGTGCGGTGGTCTTGTTATTCAAGAAAGGCGACAACACTCTCTTGAAGAACTACAGACCGATTTCCCTTCTGAGCCGCGTCTACGTGCAGTTTTCGAGAGTCATTACGAATCGTCTCGCGCGCAGACTTGACGACTTCCAGCCTCCCGAACAAGCCGGTTTCCGAAAAGGCTTTAGCACCATAGACCACATACATACTCTTCGGCAAATTGTACAGAAGTCCGAGGAGTACTATTTGCCACTATGTCTGGCGTATGTGGACTATGAGAAAGCCTTTTATTCCGTCGAAATTTGGGCGGTGCTGCAGTCCCTTCAGTGATGCCAAGTTGACTGTCGGTATATCGAAATGTTGAAGTGCTTGTACAGTAGGGCTACGATGGCTATCCGAGTACAGAACCAGAGTACGAAACCTATCCAATTGCAGAGAGGTGTAAGACAGGGTGACGTCATATCCCCGAAACTCTTTACCGCTGCATTGGAAGATGTTTTCAAGCTTCTGGACTGGAAAGGATACGGTATCAACATCAATGGCGAGTACATCACTCACCTTCGATTTGCCGACGATATAGTCCTTATGGCAGAATCACTGGAGGACCTAAGCACTATGCTCAATGACCTCAATAGTGTTTCCCAACGGATAGGTCTTAAGATGAACATGGACAAAACAAAGATCATGTTTAATGTCCATGTCACACCTATGCCGGTAGTTGTTGGGAACACTAAGCTCGAAGTTGTTGACGAGTATGTTTACCTGGGACAAATAGTCCGACTAGGTAAGTCCAACTTCGACTGAGAGGTCAATCGACGGACTCAACTCGGTTGGACAGCGTTCGGGAAATTACGGCACATCTTCTCGTAAGGTATCAAAACTTGAAAACGAGACTGTACACCCAGTGCGTGTTGCCAGTGATGTCATACGGAACTGAGACGTGGTCCTTCACTGCTGGCCGGATGAGGAAGCTCAATGTCGCTCAGCGAGCTATGGAGAGGGCTATGCTCGGAGTTTCTCTGCGTGATAAACTCAGAAATGAGGATATCGGCGGTAGAACCAGAGTGACCGACATAGCCCAACGGATTAGTAAGCTGAAGTGGCAATGGGCCGGCCATATAGCTCGAAAAACCGACAACCGATGGGGAAAAAAGGTTCTCGAGTGGCAGCCTCGTACCGGCAGGCGAAGTGTAGGGCGTCCCCCCACTAGATGGAGTGACGACCTGGTAAGATATGCAGGAAGTCGATGGATGCAGGTGGCTCAGGTCCGTGCTTTGTGGCATTCTTTGGGGGAGGCCTATGTTCAGCAGTGGACTTGTGAAGGGCTGTAATGATGATGAAATGATGATAAAATTGATTTGATTTTTTAAAGGTATAATAAATAAGCATAAAGAGTTAAAGTTGCAGGCTATATACGTCCCACCGCTGAACATAGGCCTCCTCTTATTTCTGAGAGGTTTTTAGGGCAAGGAAGTGTCCTGCCCCATTGCCTGCTGACGAACTTCACATTTCTTCGAAATATTAGTTTTTCTTGATGATTTTTTCCTTCACCATCGAGCACGTGGTAAATCAGCACTTAACATTGCAATTAACAATTTCATTGGTGCTGACGAGGATCGAACCAGGGTTGCTCGCGAACTGTGAAATTAAGAGCGAGCGCTAACCATCTGAGCTACCACGACTCTCAGAGTATGAGGCCAAGAAAATTCCGCTGCACTGCCCCAATGGGTGTTGGCGGACTTTACGTATCTTTGAAATATTTCACGAAGTGTTCTTCACCGCCTAGCACATAAAACTGCAATTAACTATGTGATTGGTGCCGGCGGGGATCAAACCGGATTTTCTCGAGTACTCTGTTATTCACAACAACACACCGACACAGTAACCCCCGCTCACGGGCTAAGCACTTACTAACTAAAGGGGGATGCTGCTGACAATCCCCTTGGTGTATGATGCACTTTTTGGTATAGGTCTAGGTAGATAAGTTTCCAAATCTAAAAAAAATTGATTACGCACTGAGCTGTCTTAATGTTAATGAGATTAGTGTAAAGGCGGCAGTTCACGTTGGCCAACATAGTGGCGAATGTGTTGGCAAAGATTATTAGCCAAGAGTTTGTGATGGCGTCCGCATATTGGAAGGTCGTTCAGTTTGCTTCGGTTCAGGCCAATGTGTGGACGAATTTATTAAAATGGATATTGAAGTACTAACGGCTGCTGCGGTTTGTTTATTCATAGCATACATCTACTACGTGAATGTGTATAAGAAAAGGGTGATCAAAAGTAATAAAAAAAAAGAAATTTTGTTTCTTGTGTTCCATAAATAATTTTTAGCTTTGTAGGCTATAAAGCGAAAAGTTTCTTCATTGGTCATTGTTACTGCCATTATATAGACACTAGTTATGATGCGTGAATATAAAATTTAAATCAGGTGCTGTGATCACTCTTGGAGCTCGTAGCAAACTAAACGTGCGCCCAACGTCTGGACGCGGCGGCCAATACTCTGCCACAACCCTTTGATCTTTTGTACCGACACCACACGGATCTCGCGCCAACTTGCGGGCCATCATTCCAATACATGCCAAGTGAAGCACAAACACCCGTGGCCATCGGTATTGGCCAACACATCCGGCACTATCTTGGCCAACGTGAAGAGCCGCCTTAAGAAGCACCTCCCCAACAATTAATACCATACGTCGTAATGGATTATCAGTCAAAAGCAAAAGTATCTATGTATAGTCTTTAATATGCCAATTTTAATTTTAATTCTGTAAACTTTTCGTGGTTTCTAAGTTATAGTCGCTACAAGCCAAATACCAAGATATTTTACTAAGGTCACAGGAGTTCTTTGGTGACAGTTACAACTTTTTTCATTAACTATTTTTTTCCTTATAATATACATGTTTACATGTTTGAAGCGAATATTTAACGAAAATCACTGACATAATTATGATAAAAACAATAATTGATATTAAATCAAGATACATCTTCTGGTACCAAGGGACGAATAGTGCTGGAGAGCGCAAATGACCTGCTCCATTTGTACGGATCACGTGTTCCACCCAGTGCACGATTTCTTTTTGGGGAGTCACCGGTCGATCGTGGTAGACAAAAGACAATTCTTTTGCTTTATCGTGATATCTGAAAGACAACAAATATAAAATGATCCAATATTATCAAAAATGAAGAAAGATTCAATTAAATTAAATAAAAAATGTAGTTATTTATTTATGATTATTAAAGTACTTAAATTATAAATATTACGAGTAATTACACAGCAGGTTAATTTTTTTCATAACATTAAGGGTGACAAACGAGCACAAAGTTCGCTTGCCGCTTGCTCGTTTAGTCTTTAGGGTTAATAGACGTATTTGTATCTTTTAAAAGATAGGGTTGTTACCTTTTTTTTAATTATATTATTTTAAATATATATATATATATATAGAAATTCCATGAGGACAAATATCCAGAGCCGAAACAATCATAATTTCAAGGTCATACAAATACTTGTTCCGTGGTCAGTCATTTGTAAGTCACTGCGCCAAGAAGCCGTCTTAGCCGTTATCAGTCTAATATAATGAAAAATGGGTCGTTCATTAGTTACGGGATTAGCTTAATACATGAGAACAATATAATATGCAGCTGCGGCTACTTCCATCACTTCTCTTGCCTTTAATTTTATAAAACAAATTACGAAATAAGTTTTACTAGGTCGCTATAAAACGACAAACATTATCTGCAGTGACCATGAACAGTATGAAGTAACATTTCACAACGGTAAAAAACGGCTTCACTGTTTTCTTCCTTGAATAGCTTCCTTTTCCGGACCGATACGTTTTAGGGACCTTCAAGAGAAGACCCTTCATCATTACAGCCTCACCCTATCTTCATCATTACAGCCCTTCACAAGAACGTAGGCGTCCTCCAAGTAATGCCACAAAGCACGGTCCTGAGGCACCTGCCTCCATCGAATTCCTGTGTGTCTTACCAGGTCGTCACTCCATCTAGCGGGGGAATGCCCTACACTTCGCCTGCTGATACGAAGTTGCAACTCGAGAACCTTTTTTCCCCATCGGTTGTCAGTTCTCCAATTATATGGCTGGCCCATTGCTACTTCAGCTTACTAATCCGTCACTCAGGTTTTAATGCGAGAAGATGTATCGTACGCTGCCCAGTCGAGTTGAATCCGTCGATTGATCTCGCGGTCGAAGTTGGACTTACCTCTTCAGACTATTTGTCCCAGGTAAACATACTCATCATACACTTCGAGCTTAGTGCTTCCAACAACTACCGGTATAGGTGTGACATGGACGTTACACATGATCTTTGTTTTGTCCATGTTCATCGTAAGACCTATCCGTTGGGAGACACTATTGAGGTCATAGAGCATAGTGCTTAGGTTCTTTAGCGATTCTGCCATAAGGACTATATCGTCGGCAAGTCGAGTTGTTATTGTTGTTTGTGTTGTGTTTTTATTATTAATAATGCTAATAATATTATTAACTAATTATTTACCGTGGATCGATAAGAATATCTTCGATTGCAGTTTTTAATTCATCTACAATTTCATATGACAGGTCTACTTTTTTTGCAAATCCTTTGTTGACTGCCCGAAGTATATTGACAAATTGATCAGCGAAAACTGGAATTCCTATGATAGGTACACCAAAATGAACCGCCTCAGTTGTCGATAACAAACCAGAATGTGTGATGAAGAGAACACATTTGGGATGGGCTGAAAACAGTTATTATTATGACAAACAAAAGTTAAAATAAATTATTATAAAACTATGTGATTTCTGGTTATTGACCACCGTGCCACTTTACGGATCTAATTGTGAATCTAAGTCATCCTAAAAAATATTTCGAAGACATTTGAAGTTTGCCAACACACATGCGGGTAGTGCGAGGGGGGACTTATTTGCCGTAAATCCCTATACAAAATGAGAGGAAGCCTGTGTACCCAGCAGTGGCATGTATAGAGGCTGTAAATAACTTTAAACTATCCTGGTATCCACTTATACACTCGGCACCACAAATCCGCACCTCCCCGAAAAAAGTTACTGGAGTATCTGGCTGTCAGTGTTTAAATTTAATCAAGTCAATATCGGTATCTACTGAAAGTACGTTTATTAACCTTTAAATTAACAACCATTTTGTTTCATAAACTTAAAAACTCTCCTGAGTAAAAGACGTTGAAAAAACCATTTCAAAAATACGCGTCATGAAGATCACTAGTTGCGGTGCGTTATGTGCTTTAAAAGGGCCGGTACAGGTAAAATGTTAGTCATTCACTTTCCAAACGTTGAAGAGGATACACTTAAACTTCTGAAGCAAGCTAAAAACCAAACAATATGGATACCACTGCTGGTGAAGCCGCTCAAGTGATTGCACTACTACAGTTAGGGATGCTACAGTGTGATTTCGCTCGGCAACTAAACCTATCCCGTTTTTTCGTTGAACGAGTATTCCAACAGTTTCAGGACACCGGTGGCTATATTCGGAGGCGTGGATCTGGGCAACAGCGCTGCACATCTTAAAGAGACGATCGATTCATTGTGTCGACCTCTTTATGCAATAGATTCTCGAATGCTGTAGAACTGCAGAAGCAGCGACGATCAGCAGAACATCTGTAAGCATCGCTACAATCAGAAGACGGTTAAAAAAAAAGAAAATTGCAGCCCATACTGCTCTGCTGCTCCATATTTGACCGCATAGCATCGCAGAGATCGATTGCAATTTGCACGCAATCATATCGATTGGACGATCGACCAATGGAGGACGTTACTTCTTTGGATGGATGAGAGTATGTCTTTTCTGCAATGATAAACGCAGAAGAGTACACAGAAGGCAAAGGGAACGATTTGCACAAGCTTGTATTGAAGAAACAGTTGGATTCAAGAGTGGCTTATGCATGTTCTGCCAAAACCAGCCTTGTCTGCGTTTCCCGGAGTTGAGATGCTCGTGGTCAAGGATCGCTGACTGCTCACTGATACGTAATGAAGATTCTAGAAGAGCATCTAATCCCATACGCGGGTTTTGTTGGCGATGGATTTACATTAATGTATGACAACGCCCGCTGCCATACTGAATAAATTGTACGTGGTTACCTTCAAGAGGTCGGGATCTCAGTTATGAGATGATTAGCGCAAAGTCCAGATATGAACCCCATAAAGCACCTTTGCGATGATGTAAAGCAGCGAGTGCGGGCTTGTGATCCTGTCCCACACTACAAGAACTCAAGGAGGCTCTCATTGAGGAATGGGACAACATTCCTTAAGAACGCGTTGTTACGTTGGATGTGATAGTGAAATTGGGCGGCTGGAATTAGTTCGAACAATAACTCAGAGCGCTCCCCGTGATAGATGCGATAAAATACGCAAAGAGATGCAACATCTCTACGCAGTGCCAGTGAGGAGAAGCCGATCGGAAAGAACTCGGTCGTCGACGAATCGAACCGCTCTGCGCTGGATGCGGTCAAGTGTAAGGAACTGGCACTGGAGAGCCCCTGCCCAGAGATGGGAACAACCCTCCACTGACTCTCAGGTCATACGGGCTGAATCTCGGGAGATATGCGCGGTACTTGCACATGGCTTTTTTTCCGCGCGCACTGTCTTGACTCCCTGCAAATATTTCATCTATTCCTCGTCTCAAGTTTTACATTATTCTCCCCCATCTGGGGCTGAAGGCGCTATAATGCCTATAACATCGGGCCCTCCTACCAGCATTCTCGCAACACCCATGCGCAAAACTCGCGCAGCAGACCGTAGTTCACCCCAGTGGCGTTGAGTCCGGTGATATTGCTGAGGTGACTCGGCAGAGCTACTCCAATTATTAAGTCGGCAAGATAAACGCCAGCCCACGGATGACCTTCACCTGGACGATCCCTGTAACCTGGGAGTACTGTTCTTGTAGAATAACTCTACTCCTAGGTTGCAGGTCCCAATGTCCAGGTGCAGTTCACACGCCATGATAGGCAACTCAGCCGTGGCAAGCTCCTTCCGACCCAGGTTATTTGTCCTAGTAATAGTGCCTTGTCTTCTTGGTTGTCTACGGGGCCACCCTTACTGGCATTATGAATGCTGGCCACGGAGCGTTGCTCTGCATACAGCCTTGCTGGGCAATTCCTCGCCATGGTCACGTGCGAGCCAGAGTCAGATCTACCAAATCGCTTGCACGTAGCGCACTTCTCCTCCGTGGACTCGCAAGCACTGCGTTCATGCCCTTCCTTTCTACATTTTCCACATACGACCTCCTTCAATCGGCAGTACTTCGCAGGATGCCCATACTGTTGATACCTCTGGCAGTACGTGACATCCACGTAATCACACGGCTCCACCACGTCCCAGCCGACGTATGGCTGGTTGTATCCGATCAGGGTATCTCTCAAGGCAACCGAACATTGAAGGATCACGGCTGCCAGCCTGCTTCCTCTCTAGGACTTCTTGAAAGCGATCCTGCAGTTTTCTTTCAATTTCGCTTTAGACCATCCACAAGCAGCAAGGTTCTGCTCGTAGTAGAGACCGGTAATGCCATCCTCGTTCTTGGTCCAAACCCCTGAGAGCCACCAGGGGTAAACGTTGCCTGGGCTCAGTCGGGTGACTGATGGAGGGGATGGATGCTCAATGATGGAGGGGCAGCAATCTTGGCAGTGCTGCTTCCTGGGTTGTGGTTTGGACCACGACAACAGCATTTCCCACCTTCCTCAATCTGTCGATCTGAAGCCCGCTGGTCTTGGGATTGACTGCTTTCTTGAGCTCCATTTTTGTGTCCTCTGCGAAGGTGACAACTGGTCCTTTGCTCACTGGCATCATTATTTGGTCAGCCCCCTTCGGCAGCCTCAGCGGCGCCGAGTATGACCGTTTTTTTTTTTTTTTTATAGGAGAGGGGGCAAACGAGCATGCGGCTCACCTGATGGTAAGTGACTACCGCCGCCCATGAACAACTGCAACACCAGGGGAATCGCAGATGCGTTGCCGGCCTTTTAAAAAGGAGTACGCTCTTTTCTTGAAGGTCCCTAAGTCGTATCGGTCCGGAAAAATCGCTGATGGTAATCGATTCCACAAGGAGGTCGTGCGAGGAAGAAAACATCTTCTAAATTGCACAGTGGTGGACCGCCAATCATCCAGATGGTGTGGATGGTATCGGGAGTTCTGCCGCGATGTGCGTTCGTGAAATTTGGCGGCTGGGATTAATCCGAACAATTCCTCAGAGCACTCCCCATGGTAGATGCGAAAGAAAATGCAAAGGGATGCAACATCTCTTCGCAGTGCCAATGAATCGAGCCGATCGGAAAGGGCTCGGTCGTCGACGATTCGAGCCGCTCTGCGTTGGATGCGGTCAAGTGGAAGGAGCTGGCACTGGGAAGCCCCTGCCCAGAGATGGGAACAGTATTCCATGTGAGGCCGAACTTGCGCCTTGTAAAGTAGCAGGCGGTGTGCCGGCATGAAATACTGTCCCGCTCTGCTGAGCACGCCAAGCTTTTTAGAGGCCAATTTGGCCTTCCCTTCCAAGTGACCACGAAACTGCACGTCACTCGATATGTCGACTCCGAGGATACCGATACTGGCTGAGGCAAGAAGGGGAGTGCCTTGAAACTGAGGAGATACGACAAAGGGGTTCTTTTTAGCGGTAAACGCGCAAACTTGTGTCTTCTGAGGATTAAAGTGGACTAGATTTAGTCGCCCCCAATCCGAGACTTTGTTCAGCAAAGACTCGACTTCAGACACAAGTTTGTTCCGGTACTCAGCGACGTTTTCCCGAGAAATATTGGCACGGCCGGTGTATAGAGCATCACCAGTGCTGTCATCCGCATAGCAATGAATGTTACCAGTTAGCAACATATCATTGATATGCAGAAGAAACAGCGTTGGTGATAGCACACAGCCTTGTGGAACACCAGCGTTAATAGGCTTGTAGTCAGAGCATGCACCGTCTACAACGACCTTGATGCTCCGATCTGCAAGGAAGCTGGTGCCGGGTCCGTCGCGTGGTAAAGAATTGCACTGGCCTCAACCTCAACCTGCGCCAGTCTTCCTTCCGCAGCTATCTTCCCCTGTTCTGCTCTGAGCGCTGCCAACTCCAGTTCGGATATATGGATCTCCATTGTTGCCACCATAGCAATGAGATCATGGCCTTATGTAGCCCTTACCTTATTGAGCTTTGACCCTGGTCCGGTGATGATACCCATGATCCCCTTTACTGCATCACGAACGTGGTCAATCGCCTCCAACTTGGAGGCGATCGAAGGGTTGAAGATACCTCTGATACCCTGGGAGCGCTCCCTTGGACGGTCCTCCTCTTCAGCCTCTGTGGCAGAATTCTCCACATCCCTGGACAGCAAACTTGCCATCGGGGCCACACTCCGGCGAGGTTCAGTGCGCATGTTCACCCTTGCCTGGTGGTAAGATGGCTGCACCTCTTCCGGTGGCGTCAGAGGCCGCCTCTCTGGTGCTACTGGCGGTGGAGGTGGCAGCGCAACCCGCCGGCTGAGTGGACCCGGCGGAGTCGTGGCCAATGACTTACGAGGAGTAAATAACTCTTCGTCATCCGCCATTTTTTATTACACAGGAGTACAATCACAGGTAATTTCAAAAATCCAGATCACAATAACAGATAAAAATCAAGTACAGAAAGGGAACGCAAATAATCAAAGTCAATCACTATGACAGATAACAGCTGTCAACGTCACTGTCAGTGTCGATGTCACACACACAATGACAGCTGCCAACCTCACTGTCAGCGTCACATACAATGTCTGAGACTTTGTTCAACAAAGTCTCGACTAGGGGCGACTCGGCGACGTTTTCCCGAGAAATATTGTCACAGCCGATAAATAAAACGTCTCCAATGCTGTCGTCTGTATAGCACTGAATGTTACCGGTTTGGTGATAGCACGCAGCTTTGTGGAACACCAGCCTTAATAGGTTTGTAATTGGAGCATGCACCGTCTACTACGACCTCGATGCCCCGATTTGCAAGAAAACTGGCGATCCAATTGCAAAATTTCTCGGGAAGTCCATAGGAAGGGAGCTTTGAAAGAAGTGCTTTGTACCAAACCCAATCGAAGGCCTTCGTCTATGTCCAAACTAACGACCAACGCCTCCCCCTTGGACTCCACTGCCTCCGCCCGTCTATGAGTTAGGTAACCTAGAAGATCACCAGCTGAGCGACCTCGACGGAAACCGTACTGGTGGTCACTAATCACCTGGTGATCCTCAAGGTACCGCATGAGCTGGCAGTTAATAATAATTTCCATTACTTTGGAGAACGAGGGGGTGATAGCGATAGGCCTGTAGTTCGACGGATCTGAGCGGTCGCCTCTTTTAGGGATCGCGTGCACGAAAGCGGTCTTCCAAGAGTTCGGGACTACGCCTAGGGAGTAAGAGTACCGGAAAAGATGCGTTAAAACCGGTACCAACTCCGGAGCACACGTCTTCAGCACAATAGGTGGGACTCCATCAGACTGAGAAAAGTTGGATTCTAGATCTTTAAAATGGTGGTAACAAAGAAGTAAAAGTTTATATGTCAAACAATAATTGAATACCTTACCTAAAATGCTCTGCTGTGGAGCCCATTTAAGTAGATGCACATTACTTGGTACTTTCGCTAGCGATTCCTCAAACTTCCATAACACAGTTTGCTTCAATTCACCGAACATTCTTAGCAAACCCGCTTTGATCTCGTTTGGCCATTGCGAACTTTGTAAGTTTGATCCCATGCTAAAATATATCACACCATGCTTTGCATGATCCATGATAACTTTTAGATTCTGTAAAAATGCCAACGATCGCTATATTGCAGAGAATTATTAAATAAAGAGGTAATAAAATTAGTATATTTGATGATTATTAGCACTAGAATAGAAAAAAAATTAAACACACTAATACATGAATGTAATGATAAGCTTAAACTAACACTAATTACAATGTATCGCTGATTGTCCAATAACCCATGAATCTACGAAATATGTAATTGGTATTTTCTTAGTTACAACAACGTGGGTGTGTTGTGAGGGGCGCCATCAGTATGATAGTTGTGTGGCGGCGCAATCGTCGCGCCACAAGCGAAACACATCGAAACCTAAAACACGCTAACAAAGTTCCGAAATTAAAGCTGTATATATAGAATAGCTCCGAACTACCACTTGGAGCGTTGGCCACTCCCCGGGCAGAACACTTTGCCCGGTGGGAGATCTCCCCGGGTAGATCACCTTGGCCGGTGGGAGATATCCCCTTTTCCTTCCAACATGGGTGTGTTGCTATAATCGGAGACCAAACCTCTACCAAATAAAACACCTTACTCCCCAAATTCCTGTCAAACGATTGTAAATCCAACCCTGTGTTTAACTAATTAGGTAGAGCCACGCTGCAGCACAAATGTATCGACTCGACTGGGTAAGGAGAAGGACCCTCTCATAGAGCGGCGTTTGAGTATTTGGGCATTAAATCCATAAAATTAAAAAGGTTGGCTGAAAATCAATAGTATTTGTAACGAAAAATATTATTTTAATACAGTTGCTCAAAAAGTGGCGCATTGCACGGACGTATAGCGTTCGGGATGTGGGCTATTATATACTCGTGCTTTTTCTTTACCTTTTCCGAACTCGTGCGTTTTCTTTCCCAACTGTCAAAATAATGTCTATTAAAAAGAAAAAAACCAAACACAAAGTTTTTACTAAAAAAATTCGTAGAAGTTTTTATGATTCATGCAAATATTTCTAAAAAGTAGCTACTAATTAGTTTCAATATCAGATTTAATGATTTGATTCAATAAGTTAGGTTAGGTTTCATTTCATTTCATCTCATTAAATTTAATTTTCATTTCATATCAATAAAATAATTCTACTGAAGACTTGGCTGTATGGGCATAGTTCCCTTTGCCTACCCAGAATGGGTGAAGAAAACAAAAAAATCTATGCTAATATTCTTTTACGGTTGGCACTATTTTCCAAAAATGTTTTTTATTAAATTGCTTCATGTTTTCGCAACTGTATTAAAAAGAGTTGTTCAGTACACGTGCGGAACCGTCATTGCAACTTGTTCCGACTGTCAACCCTCACCTTCGGCTGCGCCTCGGCGCGGATAGACATTTGTCGGAACTCTTTGCAATGACAGGCTTTCCGCACTCGTAATGAAATATACTATTCTTATACCTTTGGTAATGGCTGCACATTTTTATCGATGTGAAAACCTGCAACAGGTTTGTAGCTTTGTGGAAGTCTGGTAGCCTGTCCCAGCGCGACGTAAGAATTGCCCAACATAAGAGAACCGTTGTATCTTACATCCTCGTATGATGGAACGGCTCTTCCCTTTCGAGACAGTACAGGTGCATACATTTCATTAAAAACCTTAGTCACTTCATTGTATTTCCAACTAAAAATATTAATAATATTTTTAATTTATTTTGTTTTAATGATTTACGTATTTTAATAATTAACAGCCTCATAAAAATAGACTTTTATTTGAGGAATGCTTAATGTTGTTTTCTCTCTTTTTAACTACAAGACAATAGTCAAAATGGGGCAGGTATAAATATGAGATCAACAACGATTATAAGTAAGGCTATAACATATTTTGTTTTAATGATTTATATATTTTAATAAATAACGTCCTCATTAAAATAGACGTTTATTTGAGAAATGCTTAATGTTGTGTTCTTCCTTTTTGACTACAAGACAATAGTTAAAATGGGGCAGTTTTAAATATGAGATCAAAAACGATTATAAGTAAGGCTATAACATATAATATATAGCCATCTGCGCAGGACAAGGTTATATATCATCCACGAGAGTGTGTACAAGCATAGGTGCACTCTATTCTCTCACTCTCATAGTCCAATGCGACGGTAATCCAATACGAACGGAGAGATCAGGCGCAAGACCAATGGTTTTACATGTTTTTCAAGGCACAGCGGTGAAACACCGCTAACTACCTGGTTCCTGGGCGCTACTGAGAATTTCTTTACAGAAAAACCCAAGAACTGATTTTTGGTCAGATCTCGAATTCAAACCAACTAGACCAACGAGGTGGTAAGTTCATATAATAATAAAAATAGCTAATATAAAATGAACTATATAAATAAATATATAGTAAATAATAAATTAGATTTTCGACATCAAAACATGAATACAATGTTATTAGCAAAAATATACTCACAGTTCACGGTAGAAACTGCGTGACATCTGTAACCATAGCTCTTGCAAGCGTTGAAAAAACGTATAAGGAATCATATTGGTAGACATGCTGTCTGGATTGTATGCTGGGCTTAGAGCCTCATCCATTATCCTTAAAATCAACCAATGGGGCTCCAGAGTGGAGAACCAAATCAATGGGCAATTAAATACTGTTGAAAACCTAAAAAAAAATTAAATTATATACCTTAAAATTTGTACGGTGAGAGGGAAAATATGAGAAATATTTCTCTTAATATAAGACTCTCCCACCCAGAAAGGAACTAAATAATTTCGAACTAGCGATGCTACGCAGAAAATCTATAAACTGTAATCTTGAAAAGTCTTGATTCACTAACACGTGGTAAGAACACGCCGCAGCTAGAATAGGTCGTATCGACCGGGGAAGGACCTCCCTCATACAGAATACTGGTGTAAAATTCCAGCTAAATGCACAGCAATGTTTCGTATGTTGAGTGTAGAGATCCGGAGATCCTTTTTACTGGAAAAGAGGCATTCCGTCTACTAAGACTACTTCGCAGGTGATAACGCATCTGCATTTTGATTCGCAAACGAGGAAAGATGTAGATGTCTATGGGCCACAGCAACCACTTACCATCAGGTGGACTGTGTGCTCTTTTGCCACCCTATCCTATAAAAAAAAAATCAGTAGATCATATGTAATCAGAGACATGGGAACAATTAGAACGCAACAGGGTAGAAAACCAACTATTTGTGTTTCGCACCAATTTTGAATCCGAACCAGGGCCTAAGTGTTGTGTGAACACTTTTACTTCATAAGCCCACAAAAGTTCATTGCCGTTCATGTGCCTCTCATCTTTGAGAGGCATTGCTTTCACGACGTTTGTCACGATTGGCGATCGCAGTAGGAGACTCGTTTCTAGATGATATTTTACATCTAGCGTCACAAAATGGTTACGCCGCCATCTGTCATAAACCATAAAATCTTTTTAGAGTTTCCCATAGTTACGGCTGATTTTTTCTTATTATTCATTTTTCATATTACTTCATCATTGTCATCATTACAGCCCTTAACAAATCTACTGCTGAACATAGGCCTCCTCGCTACAAAGTACGGTTAAAAGCCACCTGCATCCATCTACTTCCTGCTTATCTTACCAGGTCGTCACTCCATCTAGTGCGGGGGGGGAGTCGAAACCTTGCCTGCCGCTAAGAGACTGCCACTCGAGAACCTTTCTTCTCCATCGGTTGTCGGTTATTATATTATAATACTTACCCAGCATAAAGTTCGTTATACATCCACTCGGCAACGACGACATCGAATTGCTGCGAATCGTCCGTAAGAATTTTCTGAACTTTCTTGTTTTTAATCGTCACTAAGCTCACCTTGTCCATAATTGGGAAGAAGAAGTCATTCTCATTCATGTCCGAATCTTTTTCCATTATAGCTTTGATATTTAGGAAGTTCTCTGAGGAATAAAAAGTAAAAAGATGTACTACATTCAGAAGTGCAGAATGCGCACTTTATACCATAGTTGTTCTAAAAGAATTAATAGATTTCAAAATATCATTTTTCTTCATAAATTTAAGACACATATTTTACATGATAAACAAACAGATACCATGTGGTACTATATCTACTAAAGATTTTAAAATGTACGTATTTAATAATTAAATTACGTCGTTACTAAGTAATGGACGTGGTTATTCGTTTTTTGAAATAACTCACGTGTTTTTACAAAAAAATGCTCCAAATCTGCTAAAATGGTAGCGAAACGTGAGAAATTATAACATTTAGTTTCTTTATCCTACGGCGAAATGAAACAGTATTTAATTTTTGTATTAAAATATGGAACTTGAGTACTTAAAATTTACCACGGGAATAAGAATATGAAAGCCTTTCTGTTTCCACGTAAGCGGAGTCGAAAACAGAATATAGTAATTAATATTATCATAACTATTATTACTTTATTGAAGAAGACAAAAAAGTATCATGTAAATTTAACTTAGTGGTGGTAAAAGGTTCCAGGGTACAAATATAACCGAAAGCAACATTTCAATTCAATATCATTTTCTTCATGTCAGCATAATATGTTGCAAATGTCCCTTATTTAGAAATTAATTGCTCTTGTCTGTGTCTGCCCATGCCGTGACCGATATGGGCCGTAGCGTTATCTTTATTGTTCATATTATTGTTTATTTTATTAAATGTTGAAATAAACATTTCATTTATTAACATTACAAAATACTATTGATTGCATATGATAAACAATATTCTAAGCCAAGTAGATAACGATTGCATATATATATATATGCGTGTTTATGTATATATGTATATACATAAACACTCACGCCTGTCACCCAGAGGGGTAGGCAGAGATTATGGACTTCCATTTGGCACGATCCTGACACACCTCTCTCGCTTCCTCCACATCCATATATCTACCTACACATACACGCTCGTCGATTAAAGGTACTCTCGATTTGGCCCATTTTCAATATATCGCCAATTTGTTCGATAAACTTTCGCCAAGGGTGACCCTTCCCGACTATGCCGTTCACCTCTGCAACATAAATTTACATCAATCATCTTGCAAACCACACTCTTCTCTTATTAAACAATTTCTCACTCTGTCATTCAGATTCATCCCTAACATTCTCCTTAATGACTGCATTTCTACAGCATTTATTCTACTCTCGTGCTTCTTCTGCCACACCCAACTTTCACTACCATACATTAAAGTAGGTTCTAACACAGCATTGTGAATTGCCATACGTGCCTTTTTGGACACATTCTGACTTTTCACAATAGAGTGTAGAGCCCCATTTACTCTATTTCCTGCATTCACTCGTCGTTCTATATCCTTATCATATCTACCATCCCTGCTAAACACACATCCCAAATATACAAACTCATCTACTTGCTCTACCAACTCCCCTTCTATTCTTATTTCACATATCGTTTTACTTTCTTCTCTTTCAAAAACCATAACTTTCATCTTACTTGCGTTCACTTTCGTTCCCTTTTCTTTTAATGTCCTGTTCATTAATGTAACCATCATTTGCAACTCGGCTGCCGAAGACGCTAGTATGACTGATCATCGACGTATAAAAGGCATTTGACTGTTAACTCACCCATTCTTAACCCGCATTCTTATACTTTCAAATTTTCCAAACAACTGTCCATAAATAGGTTGAACAACCACGGGGAAGCCACACAGCCCTGTCTGACACCTTTATGGATGCCAAACCAGTCCGAGTAGGCCCCGTTGATCCTGACACAAGCACTAGAGTCCCTATATAGAGACTTCAATGCCTGTATAAGACCAGCGGTCAACCCAAATGAGTTCCGTGTTTGCCATAACACATCCCTGTCCACTCTGTCATAAGCCTTCTCCAAGTCTATGAACGCACAAAAAACTTTTTGGTTTTTGGCCAAAAACTTCTCCGCGATCATGCGCATGGAAAAGACCTGATCCGTACATCCCATTCCTTTTCTAAATCCCGCTTGCACATCTCAAATTTTTCCATCAGTTTCTTTCATAACTCTTTCAATTAGTACCTTAGCATACAGTTTTCCCACAATGCTAAGAAGGCTGATACCACGGTAGTTTTTACATTCCTGCTGTGATCCTTTTCCCTTATATATTGGGACTATCACGGCTTTGCACCAGTCTCCCGGTACCCGCTTAAGTTCCTAACATAAATTAAACAAGGTGTACAGCAGGTCTGCCACCACTCCTTCTCCAGCCCTTAGCATTTCGAGAGATACTCAATCATAACCGGCTGCCTTACCTGCTTTCATACTTTTCATTGCTTTCATTATTTCATCTATACTTATATCTCTATCTATTTCCTCTTCTTTCAGAATTTCTATTTCATTTAATTCAAACATCTCATCACTCATAAACACGCTTTCAAAGTATTGCTTTCATCTCCTTAAACTCAAAACTTCGTCATTCAGAATACAGCCATTCTGGTCTCGTATAGCATTCATTCTAGGCTGTTTTGAATATCCCCTGGTAGATCTTACGAGTTTCCAGAACATTTTAATGTGTGCCTGGAAGTTATCCGATATTCTTCTATCATTCTTATCCGCTTCTTATTTCTTGCTTTTTCCTTTCAACTACTTCTTTTACTCTCTTATTTATGTGTCTAAAAACTGCCTTTTTCCTTTCAATATCATCATTCATACTGCTAGAATTAAACTGATTTCAATGAAATTTTGCACACTCTGTGCAGTTTCGTTTCAACTTGAGAGATAGGATAGTTTTATCCTGATAAGTGACACTCAATATTTTTTATTACGAATTTAAGGATTTTTTTATATGAAGAGTCGTTTAAAGGACAGAACAACGTCTGCCTGGCCAGTTAGTATATATATATATATATATATATATATATATATATATATATATATATATATGTGTGTGTGTGTGTGTGTGTGTGTGTGTGTGTGTGTGTGTGTCACAAAGCTATATATTCTAAGGATACGTCAGCAAATAGTTACCTTTAGATATTTCAATCTTAAATTATTATAAAATACAATTATAATAATATTTACTATACTTGCAAATTAAAAAAAATTGTATTCATCTTCATTCATTCTTAAAAGCCTATAAATAATCCACAGCTGAACATAGATATAGAGCTGAATATAGATGGCATAATAGGATTTTGCAATAGTTGCCACGCTTGACGGGCGCGTTGGGTATGGCAGATAGCAGATCGAATCAGCCAACGGGTAGCAGCGTCAAAATTACGAGCCTAGAACTGAGATCGCCATTCTACCTACGAAGCGGAGCGACGGCAGCAATTTCTTTAACGTGATGGAGTCACGCTGCAACTATATTATATTATTGGACCAGGGCAGGAAAACGCTCTCACATAATATCAGCGTAAATCAGCAGCTCAATGCTGTTGTGTTTTGAATGGTGAGTATACAGAACCGGAGACCCTTTTTACTGGATACGAGGCATTCTATATTAGTCCTCAGGGGTGACAACGCATATGCATTTTGATTCGTAACCGAGGATAGATGTAGATGACTATGAGCCACTGCATCCACTTACCATTAGGTGGACTATGTACTCACTTGTTATTATTATTCTTTTTAAAAAATCTGCCCACAATAAGAAGAACACGACCAGCTGCTGCCTATTATGAGTTAATAAATTAGAAGATATCTACACTGCTCACACAAGTTTTTAATTATCGACGTATGGCACTATACCGGAGGTCTTAGGATCATGGCCTAGTTTATATGACACGGCACAGGCAGGTTAGGAAAAGTGAGTGCCCCTGTTTTTGCTCCTACACTTAGATACTGTAAGACCTCCGATTATTTGAAAGTTGTCACCGTGATCGAAAATTTTGCAAACAGACAACTTAGCAATCTGACAATTATTTAAGACCTAAGGTAAAAAAAACTCCCTCTTCTGGACACAGATTTTCTCTAATTTTTGAGACAATTTACCCGCCGCACTGTAAAATTCGTTTTATCACGGTCTCGGCGGTGAAGATAGCATCGCCAAAACTTAATAATATATAGCTTATATTCGAAAGCTCTTCTATAACATACCTGGAAAGAGATTTATATTTGAGCTAACATCAACTATGGTAACATTCGGATATGAAGTTATCTTAGACGTTGCCGTTATGTAGGTAACCTGTAAAGATAAATAATCTTAGTTTTTTTTTATAGGATAAGGGTGACAAACAAGCACACAGTCCACCTGATGGCACCTGATGGTTGCTGTGGCCCATAGACATCTACATTTATACTCGATTACGAATCAAAATACAGATGCGTTGTCACACATGACAACTAAGATGGAATGCCTTGTTTCCAGTAAAAAGGTCTCCAGTTCTCTATACTCACCATAAGAAACACAGCAGCTTTGAGCTGCTATTTTACGCTGGTATTCTGTGAGAGCGTGGTCCTTTATTTATTTAGATTTGATTAATTTTACAATTCAATTAAAGTCATTGTCAACAAAAACTAAGGCTACAAAGTGGTGGGTTCGAATCCATCAATCGACTTCTTTCTTCCGTGAACTACTCCTAAGCCACACGTAAGCATTTTCAGTTTATTTTCTGGAAGAGATTGCTATGTAGCAATAAGACCGCCCTTTGTATTTCCCTCAATAGTTGTTTATTTTTTATTTTTCATATTTTTATCTTTTCTTGGTGTACAATAAAGAGTATTGTATTGTATTGTATTGTTTACTTGAACTGGTAAAAAGATTATTAGCAATTTTAATAACGTTTCTTGTATTATTTAAAAAAAATTGCGTAGCAAAAAAATAAATTTTTCACTATGTACTTAGTGTATATTGTATTAGTTGCAGAAATGCTTAACCACTTATAACCTTAGAAATAAAAACCCATTAAATTAAAAACACTAAAAATAAATACTCGGTCGAAGATTCTACATGCTTCCACAAGGTAAGGAAATAAACAATTTTTTATTTTATTAAACGTTATGTGGATTAATTAATTTGCTTACCTCGTGACCAGCGTTGGACAAAAGTTTCACGAACGCATCTCCAAGAATCCCATGGCTACCACTTGGCATTGGTGATAAAAATAGTACATTATAAGCATCACATCCAAAACTCAATATGCTCGTGATCAACAATACTCGTATTACACTCATCATACTCATCGTGTTTTTACTTACTTACATTTGCAATGTAATAATAACAAATATGACTGCAAACAAACAGAAGTACTTAACTAACACATATATAACACATATAAAAACATATAAACACATATATAAATGACAAAATTCCTCAAGCAATAATATAAAGCTGATAGAAACAATAAATACATAATCACATAATTTATCCCAACGGTGTCCGAACGATTGAGACAAATAATGCTCTTTAAGTAGTCGCTTAAACATAACAATAGTTTGTGCTTCCCGTATATGCAAAGGTAGGACATACATCAGTATGCTAAACTACAGATCAATCGGATATCAGCAATTGTTTCAAAAATTGATTACAAATTTTGAATCGGAATAACATTCGAAGAAAGCAAGCTAAGTAAATAACTTTATATATTTATTATAAGTTAATGTCAAAAAATCAAGAATTAGGTCAGGGACAAAAATATTGAGCGATCAAAATGTTGATTCCATAGTAGTTATTTGATTTTTGTGTCCGCAAAAATATTTCTATGGATTCCGTTAGCTTAATTTTATGTTCGTTCAAATACAAGGATTTTAGTTTTAACATATTTGATTTCAAAACATTCCGATTCCATATATCTTGCGTAATTGTAATTGTTCTATAAAGCTGAAGCATTATGTAAAACTGGAAACCTTTACATTTTACTATTAATTGTTAAAGATTTTGTTAAATATTATTTTACGCTGTTGGTGTTTTAGATTAATAAATAAATTAAATGCAAGTATAAACTGATATGTAACAACTTAATACACAGCAACTTAACAACGTTATATTTAATACATTTATATATTACTAGTTTACTAGCGATCCCCCCCCCCCCCCCCCCCCGTTTCACACGGATAATTCCTGGATCTGGATTTCAGCGCCATTTACTAGGTCAAATTGTGAATATAAACAATGCAGGGGCTTACTCACACACACACAAAACATTTCATCATCAAATCTGTTCAGCCGTTGTGTGATGATTTTATACATGCGGCAATTTATTTTTTATTTTATATTATATTTTTATACAAATACTTAATACTCAAAAAATATCTCCTTACTTACTCACTTTCTATTTAAAAGTAACCTTTTATTTCACAATTACTTTTTGTAAGCCGTTAGTGAAGACAGTTAGCCGGTCTAACGCAGTGCTAACACTGACCATACTGACCTTTAGTATGCATCATTAGTTAGTAATCTATGACACTGGCGTTTAAAACACACTGCGTCTTTAACTTGGAATCATTATTACTTATGTATAATTATTAACGTTTGAACTCACCATCTGGGGGCATGGCAGTGCCCCCGCCAAGTCGAGCAAAAAAGCGGCACGGCCGTACCATCCTTTTCTCGAAGCAGTTCAGGCCATTTTCGACCCCCTATAACTTCGTTGTGGATAAAACTAGACGCCTGAACCAAGCAGGGTAAGGCAATCGCACTGAACAATCTAATTTATAATATTATGTATTATTTATGAGATACATTGTGTTTACATGCGATGGCCAAGTCAATCTATTTATTAAAACAGAAAAGATGTTTAACATTGATATGGTCAGTATAAGATGTTGTTAGGTTAGCTAATTACGTAATAACTTGAGACAAAAGGACCCTTAAGTAGGAACTGAATAAATTTACCGACTTGGTATTACATGGATCTCACAACTTTTTACGTTAGAAGAACTGAGTTGCGAGACTTGGTTTTTTTACAAGTTATGTTTTTGATGGCATTTCTTTATCGAAGTACATAGAATGTGACTAGTTTATCAAAGCGAGCAAAGAACAAAGTAGGATTGCACGTTTCCCATACTCGTAGAACTCGAGAGGCTACCAGCAACCACTCAAAATGTTCTAATAAAACTACGTGATACATTATCATGACAAACGCACGTCAATTAGTACGTGGGTTTGTCAAGACCTTTCGCTGCATCCAACGCTTCCCTTTACTATTTTTACTGTTTTCCTATATAGTAATAAAAAATACCTGTTAATATCAAAAATATTAATGTTTCTCTAATTTCTTATTTATGTTATGACTGTTCATATAATAGAATAGAATAGATGAGAATAATTTTTATTCAATATACATTACATGTGTAATTCTTATTGAAAGTCATTTTTTACTTTACCACTGGTTCGAAAAAAAAAACACTGTCCTGGGAAGAATCAGCAAGAAACCCAGCGGGAATTTTAAAAAAAAATAAATTTTACAATATAAATGATTACGAACTATTTACAAAATTTATTTTAGAAACAGCTTGGAAGCGACCACCTCATTCCCAGGGGTTATTATCAACCATGTATTCATTTATACTATAATAACCCTTTTTATACAGTTTCAGCTTAATAAAACATTTAAACTTGGTAATAGAGAGAACCTGTAAACTTTCCGGGACCTTGTTGTAATAGCGTATACATTGCCCCAAGAATGAATTACTGACTCTGTGGAGTCGAGAAACTGGCATCACTAGCTTGAGTTTGAACTTTGTTGTAAACAACTGAACTAATAATTAAAACTTTATTATTACTTTATACTTCACAATTTGATAATAAGTATTATTATTATTATTATCAGTTTTTAAACCACGTTGATAAATTGTATTAATTAAACCCCCATATTGCTCTTACTATTTTAAAATATTATCTCCTTGTACCTAGATCTACATACTTACTCCGCTCGAGTCCAGTCTGGAAATGTTCGGGTATTTTAAAAGATATTGATAATACACTTAAAATAGCTGTAGAAAAAATTCTAAATTTAACTTTAAATACAACAGCCTGGACTCAAGCTACTTTATCTATAAAATTGGGTGGTATTGGTGTGAGAAATCTTTCTAGCGTTGCATTGCCAGCTTTCGTTGCATCCGTGCATAGTGTCAGTGACTTCTAATGTAACATAATTTTAAATAATAAAATAGACCTGTGCTTTGCTACGGAGGCAGGGCAGACATAGCAAACGCTCTGTCCCGGTGAGAATGTTCCACTGGAAGTTAACCAACAAAAACAGTGGAATATTTCGTTAGTATAGGGCGTGCAGAACGATTTGTTTCATAATTTCCATAGTGATCAAGATAAGGCACTACTTCTAGCTGCTTCGACTAAGGAATTACTTGATGGAGAAAGCTTGCGCATCGCCGTAGGAATCCGACTAGGAGCGGCGATTTGTCAACCCCATCAGTGCCCCTGTGGTAGCAGTGTCGACAAGTTTGGGCTCCACGAACTTTCATGTAAGAAAAGTGCTGGTAGATTTTCAAGGCACGGTTCTTTGAACGATGTCATCCAAAGGGCTCTTGTCTCTATAAATGTTCCCTCGGTTTTAGAGCCTTGTGGAATATTTAGAGACGAGTGCAGGAAACCCGACGGCATGACGTTGGTCCCTTGGGAGAGAGGTAAAGCTCTAGTGTAGGATGCTACTTGCGTAGACACTCTGGCGGCCTCTCATCTCAGGGGTACCTTGTTTAGAGCTGGGGCGGCTTCAGAAGTAGCTGAACTGAGTAAGTGGCGCAAATATGAGTCTCTGAGAGATGTCTACATATTTGTGCCATTTGCTGTAGAGACTATCGGGCCGTGGGGAACTTGCGTCTGGTCGTTGCTGCCGGTGATAAGAGGGCTGTTTCTTTTCTCGCTCAAGGGCTAAGTGTAGCCATTTAGCGGGGAAACGCGGCTAGCGTTCTTTGTACGACACCGCCGGGAGTAGGACTGTATGATAATAATTAAGTTACTAGTTTTAGTTTTTTTTTTAATTATAGTTTTTAATATTGTATATAATAAAGTATTGTATATTATGTTATGTCTAAAATTATTAAATAAACATAATATTTTATTTACATTAATTTATTTTGCCTTTATGCTGATATTGTTCGTAATGATTTAAAAAACTAAGAATTATTTATTGTGCTATTTCTACTACAATACCGCTAAGACATTTTAAATATCCTAAAAGTTATAATGCATCAACTTATTGCACCATATCTCTGAAATAATTTGATTAAAAAATAAATAAATATCCATAAATACAAAAAATACAACAATAAAAAAACAACTAAAACAACACAACAACAAAAAAACGAAGCATAATCATAAAACAAAATACGTAATTTTTATATATATTAATATATAATTTATAAACAATGTATAACACGTTTACCTTTGTTGACTTTGATTACCACAAGTTCTTAGTGACAAGTACAAATTATCTAGATTGTCAGTATTTGATATTGCTTAGGTTTAATAATATACAGGATTATTTTTCAAAGAGTAGCCAAATTTAGCCAAATTTTAACCTTAAGTTCAAATATATAATAATAAAATATACCGTTATTGCAGTTTTTGCAAATACGAGTAAATAAGGCTTCTACTTTTATTTGAAATTATCCTAAATTGAATGTAATTTATAGGCAACACCGTTTTTGTCTACCTATCGACACTTACGAATGTGTTCGTGCGCAGTAAAATCAGTTAAAATAATCCATTACCACGCATTTTGAATTTAACAGATAAAAAGGAGAGAATGTTTGAGATTTATTTAGTTAATTTTTCTTCCATCTTCACTTGCCTATAATACAAATTTGCAATATGCAAATTTGGCCGGTTATTGCAAGATAACCCTGTATAGTATAGTAAGTTCGAGCCAACATAACACGTAAAAAAACAATTGATAGATCTTGAAATGCAAGTTCTAGTACCTCATATCTGAGACAGCATCTTTTTAAGAACGTTGGAGTGACTAACGAATTCAGTGAAGTTAGAGGCTACTGCAGCCAAACTAAACAACCAGGCAGACCAAAGATACCAGAGACCTTCAAACAAATCTGGGGCTATAGATGCATTGTCAGACTTGAGGACTAAAATAGAATCCCTCATATCTGTAACTATACGATGTCTCTTATCTTTAAATGTGTGTGTGTGCGCTGTCTCTTAGCAGTAAAAATAGGTTACAGTGTGGTACCGACCCATACAGATTCAAAACAAAGTATAGTCATAACTTTGAATGCCTCCATAATGGTCTGAATATTTGTCAATGTGAGCCTATCAAAAAAGTCGATAGTGTAACCAACCTCGGTGTTAAAGTTGATACTAACTTCTCGTGGTCCAGCCATGTAGATTATATTTGTAATAAGTTAAGATTACTGCTAAGCAAATTTTATCACTTAAGCTTTAAAGTTCCTTCTGCTACTTTAAAATGCTTATATTTTTCATTGGTAGATTCGATTTTGTTATGGTCTTACATTCAAAACCTACATTGATAAGCTTGAAGCACTACAAATTAGATTTTTAAAGTTACTAGTTAATAAAAAAACTAAAGATATTTGTAAAGGTGATTACACAAAATTGTTCAAAATCTGCAAATTACTCCTAGTAAGTTTAAAACATAAGTAATTACTTGCCTTAAATAATTAGCACTGTCGAGAGCGTACTCTAATACTAGTTAAGCATGGTCAGGCTACACGGTCGATATCTGCAGGCAAATTTGTAGTACCTAAAGTAAATAATTACTACGGGGACAGAACTTTAAAGAAACGTCTACCGTACTTTCTCAATACACTGCCTGAGGATAATCGACGTGAACCAGTAAAAAACATATTTAAAAACAAATTAAAGCAATACTAGGCTAGTCTTAGTGCTTAACTATAACAGTATTATGTAAATGAGACTCAAATGTTCCTGCAGATAAACTGCGTAAGCAGTTTTGCGGGAATATGTATATGAGAAACCAAACTTTGTACTTTTAATAATAAATAAATAAAAAAAACAGACGCATAACAACAAAAACCAAAGTACACAATGATTACATAAAGAGTTAATAACACTAGCAGTGATTTCCTATTTTACTTTATATATAAACTAGTTTAACCTTCTCACGGCATCTCAAAAACAAAATACCTGGAGAGGACTGTCCAGCTTATCAACCAATATGCTGAGGCAGTTTTTTTATAGACTATGGGTGATAAACGAGAACATGGTTTAGCTGATTGTAAGTGGATGCTGAGGTTCATAGATATCTACATTTATCCTCCATTAAGAATCAAAATGCAGACGCGCTGTCAGCCCTGAAGACCAAGATGGAATGCCTCGTTTCCAGTAAAAAGGGTCTCCGCTTCTCTACACTCATTATACGAAACACAGTGGCATTAAGCTGCTATTTGACGCTGGTATTCTGTG